TATGACATGAAAGACTTTTAACTTAGAACCCTAGCTGTTTAGAAGACTGAAGTTGAACATGAACGTTATTTTTGGAATTCTTAGGGGTTGATATACTGCCCCAACAAAGAACTTCGACTGAGCACTCTTAAAAAATACAACTTTAGACATCAGGCTTCTAATCTCGACGTAGCACGCTGCCACACTATATTCACGCCAAGCTCCCTTACCATAAAGAGCGGCATTATCTGGAACCAACTACCTGTTCGAACTGGAAAAGGCGTCACCCCACAGCAATTTTTATCCCTTCTCAACAGATATTTTGTAGAATGCAATCTAGAAGTAATATGTGACACGTTAAAGGTACGTGACGCCATTCGACATCCTTTCCATTTTCACAGCTAAACACTACATTGCTTCTTAATTTTCCAGTCCTTCTCTCCTTCGCTCGCGCGCTATACATACACATATTTTTTCCAGCCTTACTCCTCAAATCTTACATTCCTTGCTATGGACGCTCACGGTTATCTGTTGTATCCCAATTTCGCATCCTGCCTAAACCATGTTTACCAACATTGAGTTTGAGTATTTTCGGCGCCTTAGATTCGGAATATAACACCAGATTTTGCAACAAGCAAACCCAATTGACTGAAAATGGGAATGTAAGCCTGGCAAACATTCACGAATTCCTTTCCGACTGGAGCACGGCTGACACTACCAAGTACACCATCCGTTCACTGATACTTCAGCGTGAGGATGTGATGACACATATTTACCTACGCAACTGAAACTAATGACTGATTACAGATTCCGTGAGTCCGAGTGTTTTACAAATAATCAGTCCCGTTTCCCAAGAATTTTAGCTGCCATTTCACTTGCTCTGTTAGAAGACTAAGCAGCGTTCTCTCCGTTTACGCATCACCCTCGTATTACGCGCTGAGGCCAACTTTCTCTCTCTCTCTCTCTCTTTCTATATATATATATATATATATATATATATATATGTACATATGTATGTATATACATATATATGACGAAATCCTTCCGCTTCAATTTGTTGCTGCTCATCCACAAATACACTTCCATACTCTAAATTTTCGGGCTGCTACAGAAGTGGTGCATCAGGTTACCTACCTAAAGTGGTTATCTATACCACGATAACTTTCATCGAGAGTAGGTCTGTTTAGAACAGCGAGAGAAGGCAAGCACTCGGCACAGGGACAGTGGTATTGTTTTGCGAAACACCTCTGAGATAATCATTACTCAAGGTCCAGCATATCATGAAAAATAAGTTGAAGACTGCTTTCCAACAGGTCTGATGGAGGGGGTAAATGAGATCCACCCTGATCTGATGGACAGCACAGCGATTGCTACGGGTCCTGTTCATGAGTAAAGTAATAGAAACTGAAAAGAAAAAAGCAAATATGAAACATGAAAAAAGCTCTGCCCCTAAAAAGGACAAGTTTCCGAGTGAAAAATCTGTCTGACAGCCGGCGCCACGAAGTAATGTAGACTGTCTCCTGGTGCGAGTAGGTGGTATGAGGTTGCTACCTTCGCCAAACGCCTAAATCCACACGTCAGTACGGCGTGAACGTGCGTTACAAATGCTTATTAAACATGAATGATAACCGCTTCAGTATTCTGCCCATAAACCACTGGTGCAGTTTCTCTCCATAAGTACCAGTGACTACTTTCAAACATCCGCCTTACAATTGACTTTATTTCGTATGCTTCCTCACCAATTTCCATGCTATCGCTGCAACGCCTATTGTCTCCTCATCCTACCCTCACATATATATCAACTATGATACGACTTAAGCTTTAATCGACATAAGCCACTATTTTAGGATGCCCATGAACAGTTGTTTCCACACTGTCCGGACATTTCATACTAGCACACATATGGTACATCTTACTGAGACCGAGTGTTAATGTGCAAATTTACTGCAAAACATTACTACTACCAGCTGAAGCATAAAATGGTGTGACCTACCAAATTATACTGATCATTACTTTTTATGGAATATTCTATTGGCAGCAATTATCACGGTCTTCAAAAGGTAATTTTACTAAATTTTTCCAGCCCTCTCCCACTATATTCTCTCGTCTTTCATTTTCTCCCTTCTCTTTTGCAGATACTCGCCCCAGAATGAAGCATGGTGAAATTGATATCCTACCTAGCTCAACCACCACGAGGAAGCCATATTTGGCACCAAGTCAAGAAGTACAGAAAAAAATATTCCATTTCAAAACACCAGTGGGTTTACTTTTTTCACCCGATCACGAAGCTACATACTCAAAAACCACTACCTAACATCGCAATGTTATGTTTACCAGTGATCGCGTAATCAGAGAACTTTCCGTGCTGTCAAGCTGTTACTGTTATGTTGCTTGTGAGCTTCTTGTTCGAAAAAAACACATATTTTGAAAGTTCTACAGTTTTTGTGATCATACTGAGTTCTAAGTGCTACTTGCTACCACTTGCCCTTTTGCAACGTGGGTAGGCAATCTTGCGCGCTAAATTGCCAATTTCCCTAGTGAGTTTGCACTCATACTTGCTCATTGTTTCAAAAGTACAATCTAATGATTTCTTACTTACCGCAAAGTCTGACTAGACCATTACGGTAATGTGGATATTCTCCTGCTTTGATCCTATGATATACAATTATCCAGACAATCTTTGATAAGTTATATGGTGTGCATCTTTATCGCCTGTCTGTCTTCGAAATGAATTATTTCCAACAAGACATGTGACGAGTTTTCTACGTTTCTCTCTTTCTTCTGGGAAAGGCAGAAGAAATTCATCCCCCTGAAAAACTGTTATTTGTGGAAACCTTGGATATCCACTTTCCTATTTTGTTCTGCACATTGATTCTCCTTTATAAACTCACTGAGTATCTTTGGGCAATGAAACTTTACCAGCCCAAATTGTGAAACTGGTTTAAGTATATAATCACGCCTGTAAACTGGCGTGTGCTCGTATTTGCGAGAATAAATTATTACTATCAATATTATTATCATTAATATTGAAAGCTTTTGGTCCCGATAGTGGAACCTATCGATGCATTACGAGGCTCTAAATTCATGTCCATCTCATGGATTGCAGCAAGTTCCAATGTGATTACGCACACCAATGAATTGACGTGCAAACTATTTAGTACCAACCATCATTTCGTACACTTTCAGCAGCTGTCATTTTGATGGTGCCTATAGGGGGGTATCTCTCCTGTCAAATCCATCATACGAGGGGAGGAGTATTATTACTGCGACTGTCAATCGAGACAGAATCACATATTAGACATCCGTATCACAGAAGGGTTGTTCGTAGAGTTTGAAGCGCCTACAATTAGGAAAATCCTAGGCATCTTGAGTCCCACTGTCTCCAGGAATTGATGGAATTCACCCAAGAGTAATCAGTGGGCCATCGTTCTCAGCGTCCCACTACCAAACCTTTTCAAAATTTCCTTTATGGAAGGCAGATGACCCTCTGACTGGAGAAAGGTGGCTTCCGTCCTGGTATGTAAAGATGGAAACAGCCTGAATGCTTCTAACCGTAGACCAGTCTTACTGATCTTTTCTTTCGCAACGGTTATATAAAGGGTAATAAGCAATTTGTTTCGTGAAAACTTACCCAGCAATTCAACCATAAATGACTGTCAGCATCGGTTTTAACCAGAAAGGTCAAGTATTTTGATAACTCGGAATTGCTGGACTCTCTCCATTGGGCAGAAAAAGCACGTTCAGATGGGTTCACTTGATCTTTCTGAGTCTTTTTGCTGGGTAAGTCATGAAATGCTGTGTTAACTTCAGCTTAGGGGTGTACGCGGAAACTCGCTAAGTTGACTTAGAGATAATATCTACACTAGATTGCAATCAGTTAGTGTTTGTTTCTCTTTATGTAACTGGTTCCCGATGGTAAGTGGTGTGCCACAGGGTCAACCACTGTTTCGTGCTGTTATCAATGATCTACTAGGATCCCTCACTCCCCGTTCACTATTATATGCTGATAATCTGAAGATTTGGAGGGGAATACAGGAGCCAACAGATATTTTAGTTCTCTGAAAGGACCTTACGAAAATTTTAAACAGGACCAATGAAAGTCTGAAGCCTCAGTGTGAAATGCAGAGTAATGATTCTTGACAAATACAGAAGTAGTCCCAGTTCTTAGACGCCAGGTGAAATAAATAGCCGTCACTCAAACGTTGAAAAAAGACCTAGGAGTTAATTTAAGCGACAAACTTAAAGCTCCAGTTCATTTTCACCTTGCAACAAACAGGGCTTAATAAGTACTGTCGATTCCTTCGAGAATTCTAGTAAGGCTAACTCCGACTGTTTTCACCGCAGAGTAGTCTCTATATTCGTCCTCACCTTGAGAAAAGCTTATTCATGACATCTCCGTACTTAAATGACACTATCATCCTGTGATGGGTCCAAAGAAGAGCGACGGAAAAAATTATTGCGCTACGGTACAAACCTAACCTGGATCCCTTAGGTGCTCTTAAGCTTCAACCGGTACCTAACATCAGAGAGGATATGATCATGATGTATTACATTACCCATGATCCAATTCATCCTAACAGATAACCATTCAGCTCCGATCGGAACCGTTACAATGGGGGTCACCCATTAAGAGTACAGCATGAGAGACCACGCACAAAGATCTATGCTAACTAGCTTGCAGTTAGGGTATGTAAACAGGGAAACTCCCTACCGAGGTTTACAGTCTCTTCTGATGCTTTCGAAACGAGGTTGAGTGCATATTCAGCACCTTGCAACACCAGTAGAATGTACTCCAGAAGCTTTTCTTCATCTATACATAACGGGTAGAAACATTACCTATGAAGAGCAGATTATTTAATCAACCATAATCTCTGTCCTTTACTGTTTTTCGGAACCAGGAGAGTGACTGCAGCCATTCCAAGCCAGCAATGTATCCAAGCAATATAGATGTAGAACTCTAAGAATCAACGTTCACTAACTCTCCAATAAGAAGTTTGAAGTTTGAACCGTTGATTGTTTAAGTGAACAGATTGTTAAGTAGTTGGGTTTGGTTAAAATCCTTAGGGTTACGAGGGTTACCTGGTTATTATGAGTAAAATCCCTAGGAAGGGTAAGTTGTTGATGATAAGTGTTTCACATTTGAGCAAATACGAGAATGTGATTAGTTCGCACTCTTTAACCACTAGTTTACTGATTCGTTTTCTTTTCCTTGTAGTCGTTTCCCTACAGAGCAAGAAGAAAGGAAAACAAAACAAGAAAAATGTCACTAAGGAAAAAAATACGGGAAACAAATGGTATTTAATTTCAGTGTGTGATGGTACCGAGTATTTTTATTCACAATTTACGTGCGTAGATTAGAACCTACCTAGTCAACATTTTCGTTGGACTAAATTAGGCGATGTTAGGCCACTCACTATAGAAAATAGGCTTGGCGTAGGGCTTTTGAAACACTCCATACATCTGATTTGATGTTTATAAACCCTGCATCGTCTCATTCAACACATTTGGTCTTACATCTGGCCCAAAGATTTAGTTTCTCCAGTGTGCGGCCTGACGTTTCCTGAGGTGAACAGGTATTCGGCTCCATTGACTCTATGTAGACTGTAGCCCAACATCTGGTCCCAAATACATTGCATCTGGACCTATATCCGATTTGTTACTCAACTTTGTCCGGCTTGACCTTACGAAAATGTTGGCTAGGTTAGCTTGGTTTTGGCGACTTGTACTTTTGTGGAGCGTAGCGAGAAATTGAGGTTACTCTACCGTTTTGAAGGCTTGCTCAAATGTTTGTGCTTTATCATAACTGTGCCTTTCAGCAACGGTGCTCTAGATGACCGGTTGCAACCTCACTCACCACACCAGCCTGTGCCGAAAAGTGAACAGGATCCTGGTTACTGCGATTATTCTCGAGATGAAGAAGTCCTAGAGGACGAGGAGATTTTGGGCAGTGATGATGATGAACAAGAAGATCCTCGGGATTATTGCAAAGGTTAGTTATCTCCCAAAAAACTAACGTAATCTAGGTGGTTACCATCCTGTAAAAATCGGACAAGTCTATAACTCACGCTATCATGTTGTGCGGAAGCTTGGCTGGGGCCACTTTTCAACCGTCTGGCTGTGCTGGGATTTATGGTTTGTTCATTATTGAAATCATTTGATTACCTTAGTTCAAAACGTTTTGTCGCAATGAAAGTGGTAAAAAGTGCACTTCATTATACAGAAACAGCTCTTGATGAGATAAAACTGCTTTCATGCGTAGGTTGTTAACTAATCTCAATAACTTCCCTAGGTTCGTGAGTCTGCCCCAGAGGATCCTTTTCGAAATAAAACAGTTCAGCTACTTGATGACTTCCGAGTGTCCGGTGTAAATGGGAACCGTATCCTTTTTCTGACTGAGCAATCGTGCAAACACCAGCATCCTGGCTACATAGGCAGATTTAATTGACGCTTTTTAAGAGCTTGCCTTGCACATAATTACTTTGTAAGTTCCCAAGATCTTTATAGTCATCTTCAAACTGAGGGTAATGTTATGATCGCGACACAAAAACTTCCATGTTTATTCAGGTGAGTGTATTACCAAGAGAAAGATTTGATTGTGGTTAATTTATTAGTTGTCAGTAGTCAGTAAAACCTGGTTGCACACTATCGTACAGACCTAGTGCAATCCAAATAATAGTCTAGTGATATTTCCATCTTCATCAAAGTTAAATTGTTTAGCTCTAAGTATTATCTTAACTGGCGTACTCATTCTGTGTGATTGTACTAGTGGTAGAAAGCTAGTTTAATCGTAATTGACTGATAAGTCACGGGCTTGTTCGTAACATCATACAAAGCTATGGTCCCGCAATTACCATCAGTGTTTCGTTACTTGAAGAAAAAATAATGGTCATGTGCGGGTTCTCACATTGAGCATCACATTATTTTAGGGCTAATGTGGCTACCCAAACCTCGGAGTCGGCTCTCTGGACCAGTGTGGCACAGTCTCATTACCTACATTTTGATTGGTCTGTTTTATGAATTCCTTAACCGTTTTTTAGATGTCTGTATGATTTTCGAGGTTCTGGGACATAATCTACTGAAATTGATTATCAGATCTCAGTACCGAGGCATTCCGCTTGAAAATGTCCGTTCTATTATCAAACAGGTGAGATAAAAGCGTGTAAAGTTCTATTTTGCCGTACTTTGAAATATTAAACCGGTCATTTTTAAGTGTGGAGAAACTCCCGATTTCGCTAACTTGCAAAGTTTCGATTAGCTACCTTGCGTTAATAGGCTTTTCTGCCGCTTGAGTCGGTTAGCAGTTGTGGGCGCAAAACTAAAGCTACCATGAGACAACTCTGCAATCAACAGTGTCCTGTAGTCATCTTTATTTAGGAGATACGAATTGCCAACAGAATCAAATTATTTCCTGAATGTCAAGAATTGTTCTTGAGCTAATGGATAGAGAAATCTAAACGTTTGTAATACAATGAGACGTCTAGACTGCTAAGGCATCAGTGCTGGACTGGGATCAGTTTCAGGTAGTAAACAAGTCAATACGGTGGTCCGAGACTAATACAACAAGTCCGCATAATGCAATTACTAGATGAGCCCGTCCAAACATCTTGACCAGTGCTGTCAAATTGTTCTTTGTCATAAGTAGTTAGCGCATGACCACGATGCAAATCTTAATGCTATGCTGTTGCTCGCACTTGATAAAGGCTTGATAATGATTATCCAGACCACGATAGGTAGGGCAGAATTCAAACTTCAGACGTCATTTTGAAGTCAGGAGCTTGAAGCAACCAAATACAGCTAAGTCAGGAACTTAGTCCTGTAATAACTAGACGCAGACTGGTTCGTGTCACCAGCTGTATTCCTAATTTTGGTTTTAATATCCGACTGATCATGTGTTGTGTTCTGTTGCAATAATCATGATCTTTTTAGAACCTAAATTGTTCTGAGGAAGCTAAATCAGGATTTCCAGTCATTTTTTTCCTCAAAGGTACTTCAAAGGCTTTACCTTCTCTCTCCTTTTAAGACTGGTATTCCGCGGACTTCTTAACCGATTGATAGTTCTGTTAGTTGACAACAGTCCTGGACAATTTGCTGGCGTTGAAATGTTCCTCGAATCTTAAATGCCTGTTGACAAGATCTCTACAATTACAAACTCGGTTGACTTTGGCCAGCTTAATAAGCTCGTATGTTGGTAACACATTCACGCTTGTTTGGGTTTAATGCTGCACAGCATTACTCTCTCTACTGACTAGTTATTAAACTTGGTGAATATCGTTTGCGTTTGGTAAGATTGCGACAAAGGGGGTGGTAGACAGTGGAAGCTAGGGAGATTAAGAAATCAGAATCAGTAGCAACAAGTAATGGGCGTTTTCGCACACGTCAACTAGTCCCAACGCACAATCAGAATTAGGTTCCAAAAAAAATAGTGTTCAGATCGTAGCATAGGATTGATCTTTCAATTTCTTTTTCTGTGTAAACCGTGTAGGAGGGTGTAGGCTCTAAGGCTCAAGTTCATGCAGTATACAAATATCTCAAGTTGTGGTTTTGTTTCACTCGTTGTATTGGCGTTTCGGAACTGCTACACCTTTGCATCAGGATTTAGAGTGAATTCGTTAAACTGTAAACCCACTGAATTGTTTTCTTTTCAGACCCTACAAGGACTTCATTATTTGCACACAAAGTGCCATATTATCCATACAGACATCAAACCAGAAAATATTTTGGTCTGTATATCTGACTCACAAATTCGCAGAATGGCGGCAGAGGCTCTGGATGCTCAAAGACGAGGTGTACAACTGTCAGGTTCTGCAGGTAAGGTCTTTGGCAACATTTCTTTTGGAGATGGATGGTCAGTACATCCAAGTTTAAGCAAATTGAATATATTGGTTTCCGAAAAGGTCCAATTACGCGCTAAGTTTTTACGGGCATTTGTTTTCTAGAGACTTTTTTAGCAATGGAGTAATGAAAATGAGTTTTGAGTTGGATGGCGTTAAGAGAGAAAGCTATTTGGTATTTATATTCAGTGTTTCACACCAACACCTTGTCTAGCTCTGTAGCAATTAGGTTATTACTTGTCGTCAAATCAATTTTTGGTTTAGGAATTGTGGCTGTTTCGGATAATCAACTACCATCTGCTGAGTCATCATTTTGAAACCACTCTTAATACAGTCTATGCAACCGCGTAGTTTCTTTGAACTTAACACCACTTTTGGTTCACTAGTCTGGTACACGGAACTGCTTGAGGTTCTTGAGTTGAATTACCAAGTTTTTAGTTATTTGAAGGATGATTCCTTCGGTGTTTGTTTGTTATGAGTAAGATTTTAATTATTAGTGCTTCTACAATCCTTCTTTGTAGTTGTCATTTACTTTGATTTAAAAAGGTGTAAATTTCATACTAACGTGACATATTCAAGCCACTTACAAAGTCGCTATCTTTTTATGCACATACGTAATTCAGTGACATTCCTGAGTATCCCATTTGCTTTACAAATGTCCATCGGGTACATTTTTCAGTGTTTTGACTTGCATTCTAACCATCGTGTTTGATCAGACGACGTCAGTTATGATTTAAAGTAACTACTTGCTGTTTTGTGTGGAATTTCACCTTTTGTTTCTTGCTTACATCAGTCAAGTTTTTGAGTAAGTTGTTAATCATCATCTGAATTAAAAAATCAGTCCTATTTAAGGCTGTTACTGTTTCTGGTAATTATTTGTACAGTTAACAAAATCGACTAATGGTGGGATCATGTGGTTCATCCTCCTTCTTGCTTTTATAGTGAGCACTGCTCCAAAGGAGAAACAAGATAACACAAAGATGACTAAAAGCCGAAAGCGCCGTTTGCGAAAACAACAACGGAAACAACAAGCCCTGTTGGAGCAGGAGCTTGATGAGCTAGAAGAATTGGAGTCGCAGGAACATGAGCGTCGCTTGATGGACATGGGACTATTGCCTGGTGGAGATAAGCGGGATTGCGAAGAACCAAATGTAGCCGGCGAAAAAGATCCTAAGGCTTCTACAGAGCAGTTACACTCAAGTGAGACAAATATAAATGATCCGACTACGGACGCATATGATGTCACTCCCAATGAAGATCATCATACTACTCCAAGTAACACTAGTAAGTCATTGCTTGTGTACAATGCCAAAGCTGTAACGCTTGTGATTAATTTTTTAAGGTTGCAAATATCTTTCAGTGCAAATTAATGTGACAGTCGTGTTTAGTTTGCAATTACAATCGTGCGAATTTTGTTTTCGTTTTTACATAACTGGACATTTATTCCAATATAGTAGAGTCAATAGAGTTCTCTTTATATCCACCAACCGAGAGTCTAAAAACTGTTTTACTCTTGTTTGACCAGATAACCAGGTGTAACGTGACTCTTGCACTCATCATTATCAACATAGGACCAGGCATACTGCGTAACGGTCCGAGTTGCCACACCTCATATCAGCACATCAAGTAAAAAGGTAGTGAGGCGAAGGATGAAGGTAAGTGAATGCAGTCAAAAGAAATATAAAGTACGAGAAGAAAGGAAAGAGGAATGACAAAATGGTGAGATTCGGTATAGCGTTGTTAAGATGAGGATAATGTGTGTATACATCTGCACCACTGACTTCGGTTCTGAGCCATATCACCTAGGGTCTCCAACCACTGGTTCCTCTTGTCCCGCCAACCCCAACCGGCTAGTGTCTGCATCGTCCTACATGGCTCAAACCAACAATCAGAGACTTCATACATTGATGCCATGTTTTAGTCTGGCCACCTCAGGCCTTTTTCCAGCCTGGACCCACCTGAGCCAACATTGTGTGACGAGGCAATCGGTGACTAGGCATACATAGTACGTGTCCCAACCATCTCAGTCGATGAAGGTTCACAACCTCGTCGACTGACTTACCTCTTCTCCATAAAACTCTACACCTAACTTCTGCATTACTCACATGGTGACACCACGGAATACGTCCAGCTTTCCTTGGTGCCCAGACAGCAAAGAAAGGTGTTTTTTGCATGATGCTTATATTCCATTTTCTCCACACCTAACCTACTCATGCTTCCAAGCGCTAAATCATGCTCTTTTGAATCTTTTGCGCTCGCTTTATGTGTATTAGTGTGAATGAGCAGAAGCACTGGCTTATTTGTTCAACTCACCCATTGGGTTATAAGCACGAAAATGCACCGACTAAACGGTCCAAACAGTTGAGTAGTCTCTTAAACTCACAACAATGTGTGGTTTAGTTCCATTCGGTCCTCCTATAGACTGGAACTGTTTTACGCTGTCCAACCTTTTTTGGAGCTAGGTGTAAAAGTATGAATAGTCGTTCTTCATCTGGGATACTTTTACATGCCTGTTCCTATCAACGAGTGGTCAGTTTCTGTTTTTAATCGGCCAAATTCAACCCCTGTTGTTAATTCTATAATCCCTTCTATAGATTTGAGTTAATTGTGCTTTTTTACAATTAGATGTTTGCAGTTAATGAGTAAAAGGTCTCCAAATCAAAGTTTCGTGCTTGTTGCTACTCGTTAGGAAACACATTTAGTCGATAGACTTCCGAAACGTTGGTTACCACTCGATGACCAGATCATAAATTAAGTACTCCCTCTATCTTTTATGAACATATGACATTAAACAATCTCGCCACAAAACAACTCGAAAAGTGAGTTTCGTGAAATACAATAACGAAGTTAGCAAGCAGCTTGCATTTACACAAACATCCTGAGCTCCTACTGAAATTTTATCAGGGTTAGTACAGTTGTTCAGGTAAATGCTACGTAGCGCATCAAATTACCTAACTAGTTGACTAAACTAATATTGGTCACAGAACGAAACCAGCATATTTATGCAATCTTATTTGACGGAGAGAATAAATTTCTCTCGTAGCTTTCCAAAAAAATTCTAAAACGCCATATTCCCACAGTACTTTGTTGTATGCATTGCTCATAGTTTCATCGACACAAAGATGTTGCAAAAAGTCGATGCTTGAAAAATCGTAAACTCGCTGACACGTGTGCATCGGCTCAGGTTCCTACACACTACTTGAAAAGTCTAGTACAGACAATTACCAATCCATCAATAAAGCCATGCAAACGATGTAACTGCACGTGTGTTCAAGTCACTACTTGTTAGCACCACGTCGAGGTGAGTCAGGAAGTGAAAAGACTGGTGTAAGAACTGATCAATATAAGATAACAATCTAATAGTGAAATGAATGAAGGTGTAAAACTACCATTTCTACAGAGATAGTGGGTCGGTTAATCCATTCGTGTGGCCGCAACTCATTGTTAACTATGTCGCTTCAACCTGGAAGCCTACACGATCCAAATCAGTAGTTAGGCAATTCAAGGACTAGTAAACTCCTAATTGTGTGCTCTTTGAGACGCGTTGCCTTCGTAATAGCAAGGGTCTCGCGTTACGTGTGTGACCAGCCTCAAACAAATGTCCTGTGGAGGTTCTACCATGACCAAAAGGTCTGTGAGTTAGTCGTAAGACGAAAAGCAGTTACCATTGTATTGTACATTGCTACACTATGACGGGCGGTCTGAGGGCAAAGTCCTACTGCTGCTAGCTGGATGCGATGTGACAGCAGTAAGGTGTTTCATCCGGGTGACGAGCAGTGCAGAGCTGATGCTGGCTTCCCAATGGAAAGCGAGTGTCACAAAAGGTAGGCCCCAAAAATGACACGTTACACCTGCCCCCTGGTCTTAAGGTACCAGTGGTATGGGTTTTGTTTATCCAGTGTTAGAACAACCAAACCTTGAAACAACAATCCGTAAAAGGCTATGTGACAGACCTCAAGCAGATGTCCCATGGACCCTGCAGTGACACAAATCCTTTTCTCTTTCACCTATCTTAAGAAGCGATAGCCGTCCACTGTGTAGGCAGCTGGGAAGTGTCAACCACCAGCACACTTCCAGTATCGCACAAGACCCAGTCAAGCATAACCTCTCCTCCTTTGCTTCACCTCCTGATACTAATACTAAGCCTCCTACACCCCCAACCTCTCACTCTGCAACCACCGAGAACAACTGAAGCCATTGGAACTTCATCCTTAATCTCCAAAGACCTCACCATCGATTTCATGCTGGAGCTTTCAACGTCCCAACTCTATGCCAAATCGGACAGCAAGCATCGTTCGCCAAAACTCTGGAACCTCTGGCTATGAATATGTGCTGTTTCTTGAGACATGTATACAGGACCCGAGTGTGGTTATTAAATTGAACTCTCCCAACCACTGTCGTGAATCTCCAAACTTCATCTTAAGAGTATTCTGACACCCAGTGGCTAGCTCCCATAGACTCCCTGGTTTAGGTATAGCCCCGAGTTGTGGAACAGAAAGTGCACTCTTCGACTGGATACCAGTCAACAGACGTCTAGGTGTTGTTCGACTGAATGGATCTGTAAGGACTAGGAAGGATCGTGAGACCAACTGATGCCCATTCGTCATCTCCGCCTACGCACCCAGCGACTGAAGTTCGGATGATGCAAATGACGAATTCTATGGAAAGCTGTCAACCTTGCTCAAGTAGGGAAGCTGAGCCAATTGAAAAGGCACCTTTGGGGTATTTACAGGATCCTGTTCCAACGAACCGACAACAGTGATCATCTGTTGCAATTTTGCTCCGACAAACACTTGTTTCTGACCAGCACTAACTTTAGGCATTAGGAGATACTCTCACATGGCGTCCACTGACTGCAAGCCAGCAATGGACACAGATAAATCATACTGCTATGAGCCATCGTTAGAGAGGATCGGTGGAGGATTACCACTCTTTCTAGAGTACCGGTTTGGACTCCTGCCACGTGTTAGTACAAGCTCATGTATGTCTAGTTCTTGCTAGTCGTAGCAAACAGGTGATAGTAAAGCCTGTCAATGGTCGACTGAAAGATGACAACGTCAAGTACGCATTTAGAGAAGGGCTAGCTAAGCATTTATCTGAACATGACAGCAATGCTCATCTTGAGGAAACCTGGCTTGATATCAAGCTTGTTGTAAAAACAGTGGTATAAACAGTTCGACACCTGCACCTCCGAAGGTTTGAACAGCTGGGTAGTTTCACTAATCCTCACGCAATGTGTGGCTCATTGTCTACTGCACTAATGTGCGCAAGGCTGTTGATTGCATTTCATTCCTTCTGTCGACCGTTAGGTGTTGTGGCGGTGTCTATGATGGGAATACAGAGCAAGTTTATATTGCTTATCGAAACTCTCATGTAGCCATGTAAGGGATTATGTTAGTTGTTATCGCAATTGAAGACGAATACTAGTGGTGTCCGTCAGGAATGCCAACTGTCATCCTCCTTATTTAGCCTTGTTATAGGTGTACTAATGGAAATAACCGTAGGTACGTCTGGATTCCCAGGATTAGTTTGCTACTTGTAGGTCATCTGGTTGGCTTGGAATATGCAGATGATAGGTAAAGACTCTGACAACATGCAGGATCTTGCGAACGCCTTAGGCGGAAATTCGAGTATATTGCGCTCCAGTCCGTTCTGTCCTGTTGTGCGGCCGTGAGACATGGCCGTTGAAATTAAAAGACGCGGTTGCAGGGTTTTGATTATCAGTGTCTTCGTAGCATTACTCGATTTCGAAGTCAGGTTAAGAGTACTTAGCAAGAAAGGTTGATCGATTGGTGAGATTGTGAACTTTCAACGACCGAGATGGCTTGGATATTTAGTGCGTATGCGAGCCATAGCCTACCTCGATGTGCCATACTAGGAAAAATTGAATTTGGTTGGAAGAGGGTTCAGGGTGACTGGACCAAGATGTGACGCCGGTGGATGAAGTCTCTGACTGTTGGTCTGAGCCATGTACTAAGACGTAGACTGCCTGGTTGCGTCCCCGAGAAGAAAGAAATCAGTGGTGAGGACTCTTGTTGAGATGGCTGGTAGTTGGTCACAATGGCTCACATGTATTCTTTCCTTGACATCTAAAACCTGTATATTTGCACTAACCTCTATCTTTAGATTGTCTATTCTCTCACTACTTTATTTACTTTGATATCACTCCTTATCTATCCACCTGTTCTTTGTATACTGCTGTAAAGTGTGGCAACATGAGCCGATGCACCTGTGTGCGAGGTTCTGCGTCGATTTTGTAAATCACTCATTTTTGCCACTGATTTCTTCATCTCCAGATTTCACTTTCTACCGTTACTATCATAGTGTAGGCTTTTTACCAATCTACGCTTAAACTTCGTCCACTAATTACTCTGCTTTGAACCTTCTACATTGTACTGTTATTTCGGTTATTCGGTAGTTGTTGAGATGCACTGATCTTTTCTGACTCGATGTCAGTCAATTCTAATCTGTCCCTGTTTTTACAGCAGCTTCAAAATGGTGCCGAACTTCCTGGAAACGACTAACTTTATGTTCCTTTGGTTCTTTAATTAAACTCCAATACAGCCTTTAATATCTTTATATCTAAAATAAACTGAAAAATTTGCTTTCCAAGGAATCTTGTAACAACGCTGCTTAACAAGACTACTAGTGTTGCGGTCTGTGTGTGTTCACTGTTAGGTCAAGTCTAATGACTCCAAGGTCAATTCGTCTCTTGAACATTAGTGCTTGCTAGGGACCGACGATTATCTGAGTACATTTGCACCAAGCAGTTGCAGTGATTAATCCTCTCTGGAGGCAAATAAGCCTTCAAGTCATCTCCTGTCGCCCCTAAACTATTTGTATAAACCTCTGTAAAGCTATTTAGGGAATAGAGTTTGAAAATTTCAAAAACAGTAGGTTCATAATATTTAGGTATTCAGTAAAGATTTATAGATTTCAAAGTACAAAACTTGAAAACCGATTCACAAAGCAGCAAACTGCGTGTAGAACCTCTTTTCGGCTCCGGCGCTCTGTGACTTAATCGGTACATAGAATAAAATAGTACGACTTAGAAAAGTCACAACTGTTTTGGATCATACAGCCTTGTACTAGGGTATAATCCAGCGGGGACTTCTTGGCTGCAGTTTTCCCCTTTCTATAGAATGAAGCCACATGCAAAATCCCTCAGAGTTAATTAACACTGTGGGAAATCACTCTTTGGTTCAATCGAAATTGTCATCAAAATCGAGCATGTCCGTATCTACGATCAGTGACATCCTCCTAATAATTCAAAGCTTCCCAAAACGATCACAATGTCACCCTTAACCTGGTTGACTGAATCAAAACCCTTTAAGTAGTTTCGAAAACAGCTAGATTCTATAGTTCTGCTGAAGTTTGAAGTATGTTGTGTGAAATACTTGTATGATACATTGACAATTAAATCATTCATCCGAATTAATCCGTCAAAGCTTTCCACAAATTTTATATGTCGTTTTTCAAAAAAGAATTTTTTTTCTCCTGAGCGCTTATTTTCATCGGTGGAAAAATAAACTTTTTCTTTCTTTGTTTTCGCCTGTTGTGGTAGTTGGTGCAGTGATCATGGATACTGCGCGTGCTGTTGTCTCGGTGTTAGGCTTTGCAGCCTCCATTCCCTTCAAGGCTTGCAGCACTGTTCTGGACAACAAAATCTATACTACTAATAATCCTAAATTATGGTCCACACAAAACGAAAGACAAAATCTCCTACCGTTAGGCGGTCAGTCAGATGCTTCCAGTTGTACCAACCATGAGAATTTCAGTCTTAGAACTCCTAATTCTGCTTTCTCTTCACGTAGCCCATGCCAACCTGGACAAAAACGTACGGCTTCCATTTCTGTCGACTCCCCTCCATCTGAGTCCTCAGGCGATTCTCTTGCAACAATTTGCAAACCGTCATGTCGCTCACTTGTCCACTTTTCTTTTGCTCCTTTGGCCGATCGACTAGTGCGGAAATTATCCTGGCCGTCTATCCTCAGTGAGTATTTTATTACACCACCGAATCTAGTTGCTTCACAATTGATGGCCCACAGTCAACTAGCATATTCATACTCAATGGAATACATGGATATAGTATCTCTTAATTTACTTCGACAGTTTTCATGCATCCAAATCTTACGTAACCTGTCCTACAGAAGGCTTAATATGGTATCCACGCGCCAAGCAGCCGTTGTATATTCTTACTAAATATTATCAGCATTTCTAAATCAATCAATCGTACAAAAAGTTACCTAGTTAGTGTCTTAATGATAGAATCTCTTAACAACATTTTGCAGATGTCATCTAGGATATCGCAGTACAGTAAACTAAGCATTGACGTACTTGAGAAAATGATGCTAGATTCAATAAAAGTTTATCCGTGTGTATATATCCCTAAAGATATTTTTTGGCAAACTTGTTGATATAGCCCTATCAAGTGAGTAAAATTGCATACAGCCAAAAACTTCAATTCAAAGTAATGCAAAAAATATTTACTTTTCTTGATGCAAAATCACTGATACGACGGGAACACACCGAATAACTTAAGAAATTTATCGGACCTAATATGGTGATTTTGTATAACCCCAGTGCACTTCAATCTCTTGGTGTCGTATTTTTCGTCAGCGACACAAGACCACCTTTATGCCAGCACAAGAAAACTCGTACTGGTTTTAGCTGAAGAAAGAACTATGGGTGATTCTTCTTTTACAGATTTTCAGCTTTCATTTATCACAAGTAATTCGGTTGTTTTCCCTGAAATTTTGTTTCAGATTGTCATAATTAGAGTACTTCGTAATTTTCAAATAGATTTATGCCTTATTTTCCCCATACTTTTTAAGTTTTGTTGCACAGCTACCTCACTTTGTTGCAAACTAAGTTTCGAAATCAAAACGTTAGTATGATTAAAAGTATTTGGTTTGTTTATCAGTAATTAAACCCTCCTTTGCCCATACAACTTCATGCTTCAATTAATATTACCGACTGGCCACACAAAAATAGTTGCTGTCCAAGCCATCATGCTTCCCAGCAGTCCAAAGCGAATGGAAAGGAAGAGCAATTCGGAGTAATAAGAGACAAAAATCAGTCAGATACACCTAATAAACCAGGTGCAATTCAGTGTGAATTAATCATATATTCCCAGTTGTAAAGAGTATGACCAAGGAGTGTATCTGCACTAACTTTTATCCTTGAGCAATGTAATCTGGTATCTCTGCCTCCTGTTTTTTTTAACATAGTAACTGGGAGACCCTTGACATCTGGGAATAGAATTCAATAACTCGCATTGGTGTTATGATTCTGTTCAGCTACATTGCTCATTCTTCTCATGAAACGTGAATCCAACTGATCATTTAATAATTAGTTGCATAAAACTTATGTATGTTCCAAACTTGCCTTTTCAGTCTTTATTCTTTTTATTGTTGATATCCTAGCTTGTCATTGTCTATATCTCACTGTCTCGAGTCTTTAAACTTTATCGACGAAACACCTTACCACAGTCTACATCGTGTTTATGTAGTAGTGAGTTAGATAATAGACATATCTAGACATATGTTGCGTTCTGTTACACTCCTATTTACCATTAATGATGACGTCATTCGTATATTCTGTTGTAGGTGTAAAGCTCCGCCCTTTATTCCACGCTTCTAAATAAAGCGTAGGCTGTCATGTTATATGATATTTTAAAGTATTTTGGAAACCGGTTTTAATAGCTTCAATTTTTTATTACTCTAGGATCACCGAACGCTTTTACGAAGACAGCTTGTCAAAGTAATAAAGAACCCAATGATCATGATAAACATCGGTCGGATGCAGCTGACGCATCCGAGGAAAGTGACCAAGTGAGTAACTTCAGATTTATTACTAAGTCATTATTATAGTTAATACAAGCAAGCAAACAAATGCGAAATAAAACCCTTACAGTTCCTGTTCCCACTTTTTTAATACAGCTAGGTAACTTGGGATTATCTGGTTCATTGGTTTTACTGCCTCATTTGGTTGTAATTTATGAGGCATCTAGTATCACAAGTGATATGGAATCTCATTCGACTCTATCAACTAGGAAACCTGGCAATGACAGAAGTGCCGAGCAAGTATGTAACGCTAATCAAGGCTCTTTACTCGAACTTGTGCAGTCGTGTAAGGGTCTTATGGAGAGTTGTCATGTAAATTGACGACAACTAGTGGCGTCCACTAGATGTCCGCTGTCACTATTCCTGTTTAATTTCGTTATTTGTATACTTGTAGACATGACCTCAGGTACCTCTGACTTCACAGGGATTCATCTACTTTCTGAATAGCATCTGGTTGTCCCTTTAGACCAAGACGCTGATAAAATGCAGGTTTTGAGCAAAAATCTGAATGTTTGGCATGCGTTTAACATCTGTGGAATGTAATATGATGCTCCAGAACTGGTTTGCAACTACTAGTTTAAGGATAACGAGTGAAGTGGTTAAATGCATGAATCACTTCACTTACTTGGCGAGTTGCATTAGCCCGAACGGGCTGGTTGCTGACGAAATCTCAGCTTGGATACAAAAGGCTCATTTGGTATTGACTAACTTGCGTCACCTGTGGCACCAACTGGCAAGATATTCAATCATCTTTTACAGACGAGTAAACTACACTGCAGTCCGTTCTACCCTATCAAATTGCCTTGAGACATGGCCGCTGAAGGTAGGAAGTATGAAACGGTTGCAGGTTTTCAAACACATGTGTTGACGCACCATTGAGGTATGATGGAATCGCCATGTGAAAGTCAGGCAAGAGGTGCTAGGCAAGTTGATTGATGAGGTTGGGAACCTTCATCGTCTGAGGTGATTTAGATATATGTCTCGTACACCGAGTCACCGCCACCCTCCTTTGCGTGCAATACTAGAAAATGAATTAGGTTAAAAGAAGGCTCTGGATGGTCAGATTAAGACGGCACCAGTAGATGAAGTCGCTAACTGTTGGTCTCAGCCGTGTAGGGAGATATAGACTACCTGACTGGGGTCTTTGAGACAATAAGAATCAACGGTTGAGGACTCTTGGTGACGTCTAAAGCTTGAATATTGTCATTAACCTTTACTTTCAAATCCGTTCTTCTGTACACCTTTGTCTGCTTTGATGTCAGTATTTTCCTACTTACTAGTTCTTTTCATGCTACTGGGAAGCCTGGCAACTGAAACCTATGCACCTTCTGTGCTGGGTTCTACGTTGATTTTGCCTGCCTATCTGTTCTCAATGTGGTGTTGGTCATTATTTCAGACGTTCAACCAGTGGTTTACTTGTCGAAACCCTGCAATATCCATGCTTAGATTTGAGCAACTGGTTATTATCGGTGGTCTTCAGATAAGCAAGCATACGAACCACCGTGTATGTACTAGGTTACATCTATTTTTACCAATAATTAGACACTGAAATGTAGATCAGTTATTGAGTTCCCTCACTGTAGATGAATTTGGAGGTAAAAGTTGCTGCCTCCATCAACCCATCTTTGGAAAACTTGTAAGTTGATATTATAGATTGTCGTTAGTTCCGGTGGCAACTCTTCCTGCACCCTCAAGACTCAGAATTTCTGTCACAGTAATTAACGTTTTAATGATACTATTGAATGACAAAATAGATTGGTTGAGTGGGTATAACGACTTCATCAGACAAAGAAATATGTGTAACAACGCACTGCTAACTATTTGTGTTAAAGTTTCGTAAGAGTCGAATTGTGATTGACTAGATCTAAGTCCATTTTGTTTGCTGAGATTCATTATCTCCTGACTCCACTTAGGGATAAGATAAATCTTTAACTGTTAAACCTATTTTTCTCCTTTCTAACTGGGGCAGTTAAGGTCAGTCCTATATTTTGACTACACAGTTTGCTATGAATAACTTTTCTCAATGACTCCTGGACGCAAGCACTTAAAACCAACTGTTCCATTCCCCTTCAGATTTGGCATAGTTTTCTCATTTGTGATTAGATTCAAATAGCTGATGTCACCATTCCATTCTATCTATAATTATGTAAGAGGTAATCGTTAAGTGAGGGAGATTAGACAGTGTACTAGGCAAAGAAATTTATACAGTTTAGGTTGTGAACCTTTGCCCAGCTACTGGCAGCCTCGACGTAAAAGCAGACAAAATCATAGTAGAATCTTGCGCAGGTTCCCGCACTATATAGTGGCATGCAAAGAATGAGTGGATATAGAGTGATACTAAAATGAACAAATGTTTGGGAAGAGATTATTTTGCAAAATCGTCAGCGAAAAAAAATTGATTTCCAGCCATGCCACTAAGTCTGCAACCATTGATTCCTATTTTCTTCACGACTCTAGCCGTAGACTCTCCACCTTCATACACAGCTTAAAATAACAGTCGAAAACTTCATGGACCAGTGCCACATCTTGGTCTGGTCACTCTTAGCATCCTTCTAACTCAATCCTACTTCAGCTAACGTCTCATGTTAAGGCAGGTGGTGACTTCGTATATGCAACTCATTTCTAAGCCCACTGAAGGCTCACATTGACTCATTGATCGATTTGTCCTCCTTGCCTAGTACCCTCTGTCTAACCTGAACATCACCTTGATGGTGATTCCACCTTACGTGAGAAATGCAGTGACACTTGTGGTCAAAAACCTGTAACGTCTCCGTATCTTTTAATTAAATCCTACCAGCAACCAAATTAAGTAAGTGAAACGGTCAACTCACTCCGCCACTTCACTCCCTATTTTTTAAACTAAGAGTATTTGAGGGATAGTCTTAAAGCATCACCTTACCTCGACGTACAACAGTAATCGAAGTAACACTGGGTTAGGAAAATGCTAGGAGTGACCAGGTCAAAATGTAGCACCAGTCCGTGACGTTTTTGACTGCTGGTTAGAGCTGCAGAGGGAGGTGAAGATTACCTGTCTGGAGCCCTCAAGTTGGTAGTAGTCAACGGTTGCAAACCCTTGGTGACTTGGGGGAAAAAGTTTTAGCGGCGCAGGGGTATTTACTATCATCTTCACTTGTTGCTCCAATCGGCTCTCACGCAAATAGGCTTCTCCATTCTTCATTTCGATAAATAGTTGTACTAACTTGAGTTTTTCAAAGCATTATCGATAATGAGTCCAAACGGTTGCTAACTCTCGGTAATTACCACTTTTATCACATTACACTTAGCAATTATTGCACAAACATGTGTCTCAGTGACTTCTGTTCATTTTAACTACTGTTATTCGACATGCCTTCTCGACTGTTGACTAACCATAACAACACTAATGAAAATCACTTTTGATAACATAAAAATTCCTGTTATGATAGTTTGTAAACAAAGTTTAAGTAGACATGTGCTTTTGATAATTTCTTGTCAGGCTTTAAAATTACAATATATCTAATATAAGCATTTGACACCATCATGTCGAAGGAGGGTGTGGCTTGGCGTTCACAACACATGTTCAAGCTATCTAAATCGATGAAAGTTTAGGACCTTATCATTCGACTTGCCTAGTATCCTTCGCCTGAATTCAATATTGCCCACACGGTGGTTCCACCTAACGCAAGTAGTCCTATAAAGACACCGATGATCAGAATTCTGTAAACGCTTCACATCTATTTCCAATAGCCATGTTACAGCGTGCAACAAGACAACGAACTGGAGCACAGTATACTCATCTTTCGATAGATGGTTGGATATTTCGACCGCGCCACAGGTATCGCATGTTGCCAAATGCCAAGCGTGCCTTCAGTATCTAAGCTGAGATTTCGCCAGCAACCAGACTGTTTAGGCTGATGCAACTGCCTAAGTAATTGAAGTGGTCGACACATTCCACCACTTCGCTCCCTATCATTAGTCCGGGAGTATTTCCAGCGGGTCAATCCTTAAGCCTCATCGTACATTTGACAGGTGCCAGCGAAACTAGTGCTAGTCAAAAATACTCAGATTTCTGCTCACCGCGTCCAGAAGACCCTGCATTGTCAGCGTCTTGACCCGACAGGACTATATCGTCCGGATCCTTCAAACCAACCAGTTGCCCTCCATGGAGTAGACGAATCCATGTGAAGTCAGACGTACATTGGTTTGTGTTCATTAGTGCGTCTATGGCGAAGCTAAAAAGAAACGTTGACTATGGGCATCCCTGACGGGCACCACTACTCGTCAATTCATATGACTTCTCTATAAGCTGTTACACGTCTGCGCGAGTTCCAGTAGAGAGCTTTAATTAGCGTTATATACTTTCTCGATATTTCCTTCACAGTCAAACTCTGCGACAACAACTCACAGTCGACATAGTCACATGCCACCTTCAGATCAAGAAATATGGCAAGTGTCAGGCGCCGGTAAGTATACTTGTGTCTCATGACCTGTTGGAGGGCAAAACTATGATCGATGTACCCTCATTCAAGTCTGAAAACCTGACTGGTTCTCTCGAGCTCCGGTTAGACGTCAGATAACTATGGACTCTAGGATCTCGGACACAACATGAGTCAAACAGATTCCTCTATGGATGTTACAAGACTTTTTTCCTTTCTTATAGACTAGGGTGACCAGTGAAGTACACTCAGTCCTACTGGCACTACCTCTGATTTCCATACACCGCTCAGAACCTCTGTCACTTTACATATAAATTTCCTACCTCCATCCCTGAAAATGTCGGATGGTAAACTGTCACGTCCTGTTGCTTTCCATCGTTCCAGGTTCGATATAGCTAACTCAACTTCAAGGAGAGTTGGAGGACCGACATCTACATCCCATTCAGGTTCAGGCTATTTGTTGAGCAACTGAAGCGTTCCTGAGGACCAGTTGGACTGTGCTTCAAAGTGTTATGCCCAACGTTCTAGCCGCCTGTCCTGCAAAATTATCAGCATCCCGTCCCTTTCAGTAGTGATTTCACTGACCATCATCTTATTCTATCCACTTTCCTTAATAAGCCTCAACAGTTGCCGAGTGTTACTCAACTCTGATGCCTTCTCCACCTCTCTCGCTTTCGCTACCCACCGTTGCTGTCGATCGATGCGAAGGCTCTTCGTCAACTTAAGTTACTCTCGCTCTTCGTCGTGATCGGAGTCAGCTGGGATCAGTTGCATCAATCAGTTTGGATGACGTCGCGGAAATTCATTGACGTTTGCTAACCAGCTTCTGTATGTTATCAGTTGTCTCTACCACTGTTTCTACAACAAGCTTGATATCAAGCCAGGTTTCCTCAAGATGAGCATTGCTGTCATGTTCAGATAAATGCTTAGCTAGCCCTTCTCTAAATGCGTACTTGACGTTGTCATCTTTCAGTCGACCATTGACAGGCTTTACTATCACCTGTTTGCTACGACTAGCAAGAACTAGACATACATGAGCTTGTACTAACACGTGGCAGGAGTCCAAACCGGTACTCTAGAAAGAGTGGTAATCCTCCACCGATCCTCTCTAACGATGGCTCATAGCAGTATGATTTATCTGTGTCCATTGCTGGCTTGCAGTCAGTGGACGCCATGTGAGAGTATCTCCTAATGCCTAAAGTTAGTGCTGGTCAGAAACAAGTGTTTGTCGGAGCAAAATTGCAACAGATGATCACTGTTGTCGGTTCGTTGGAACAGGATCCTGTAAATACCCCAAAGGTGCCTTTTCAATTGGCTCAGCTTCCCTACTTGAGCAAGGTTGACAGCTTTCCATAGAATTCGTCATTTGCATCATCCGAACTTCAGTCGCTGGGTGCGTAGGCGGAGATGACGAATGGGCATCAGTTGGTCTCACGATCCTTCCTAGTCCTTACAGATCCATTCAGTCGAACAACACCTAGACGTCTGTTGACTGGTATCCAGTCGAAGAGTGCACTTTCTGTTCCACAACTCGGGGCTATACCTAAACCAGGGAGTCTATGGGAGCTAGCCACTGGGTGTCAGAATACTCTTAAGATGAAGTTTGGAGATTCACGACAGTGGTTGGGAGAGTTCAATTTAATAACCACACTCGGGTCCTGTATACATGTCTCAAGAAACAGCACATATTCATAGCCAGAGGTTCCAGAGTTTTGGCGAACGATGCTTGCTGTCCGATTTGGCATAGAGTTGGGACGTTGAAAGCTCCAGCATGAAATCGATGGTGAGGTCTTTGGAGATTAAGGATGAAGTTCCAATGGCTTCAGTTGTTCTCGGTGGTTGCAGAGTGAGAGGTTGGGGGTGTAGGAGGCTTAGTATTAGTATCAGGAGGTGAAGCAAAGGAGGAGAGGTTATGCTTGACTGGGTCTTGTGCGATACTGGAAGTGTGCTGGTGGTTGACACTTCCCAGCTGCCTACACAGTGGACGGCTATCGCTTCTTAAGATAGGTGAAAGAGAAAAGGATTTGTGTCACTGCAGGGTCCATGGGACATCTGCTTGAGGTCTGTCACATAGCCTTTTACGGATTGTTGTTTCAAGGTTTGGTTGTTCTAACACTGGATAAACAAAACCCATACCACTGGTACCTTAAGACCAGGGGGCAGGTGTAACGTGTCATTTTTGGGGCCTACCTTTTGTGACACTCGCTTTCCATTGGGAAGCCAGCATCAGCTCTGCACTGCTCGTCACCCGGATGAAACACCTTACTGCTGTCACATCGCATCCAGCTAGCAGCAGTAGGACTTTGCCCTCAGACCGCCCGTCATAGTGTAGCAATGTACAATACAATGGTAACTGCTTTTCGTCTTACGACTAACTCACAGACCTTTTGGTCATGGTAGGACCTGAAGGATGCAAGATTTCTGACCAGTGTGGTTCGTCGGGTCAGTGTTATGTGCAGACTTGGCCACCATGTCTAGCTAACAGCTTCCAAGTTTAATACTCAAACTTTGTGTATTTTTCTTCGTCTAGATGACTTTCGTGTTATAAGTTTTACGATCTCATCGTTTCTGTTTTCATCCCTTTCATTTCTTTCCTCTCTCCACTCGTTTTCAATTTTAATATGCTCACTTTCTTTTAGTTTGTTAAGAAAGACGATGATAGTGGACTTGCTGTACGTCGTCGAGTTAAGAAGCTTCCTGATCATTCCGGTGCTGCAGATGACAAAGCAGATACTCCTTTGGCTTCTGTCACCGAACCTCAAAAAACCTCATCTGCTACTGGTGATCGAAGTTCCACAATTGTTCAGCCAGATGGTCTTTTGGCAGCAGCCGCAGCATCAGTCATGTCTGGTACTTCACAAACAGTTCCAACAGACGCAAGCAATGATACACCTGAAGTCAAACCGAACTCTACGGGGTCAAAATCAAATGAAGCTGAAGTGAATGATAAGAAACCTAATAATGAATCTAAATTAACGCCTGCAGCGAACACTGCTGGTGGTAAATCTAAACGTTTAAGTCTGGTTGTGCCACCTAGCAATTCAATTTCTGGTCAAAGTGCTTCAGATAAACGTCGATCACTGCTTTTCGAAACTGTAATCCATGAACCAGATGCTAGTAAAGAAGTAGGTTTGTTAACCACATTTCACAAGTTTTCACTATTTATTATGATGAGCACAATTTACTGAAATATTTACACTAAGTAAAACCAAGTTCCACGTGCAATATGTGGTGCTATACACAGAAATATTCAGCTGTTAAACGTTTTTTAATCTGAACGATAAACCATAATCTACTGTTTTCAGTATCCTCACTTGAACTTTCTGAAATGAATAAGTCATTCCTAAACAACAAAAAATATGATTTGGGTTTTGGAATTGACTATCACGGGTCTTGCGAATTATATTTTTGTGACCATTGAAGTGAAGAGTATCAAAAACTAAAAATCAGATAAGTTACACTGAGTTATTTAACAGTTGATTCGCGGTTGTGTGGTAATTTCAATCCGCTTTATTAGCGTTGTCATGATGGCACCAATTATTGTTATTTGGTTGGGTTTACAGGTTACTTCTTTTTCCTGTCGCATCCAGCTATCATTTTGCCAAGCGCTTCCCTTACCAGAAGAGTTACCTTTATGGTACACGGATAATCGTTCTTTAGGTAAACAATATGCTGCGGTTGGGTGGTCTTAGTATTATTTTGTAACCTCCTTTCCGGTATGAGGAATGCTTTTGTTAATTTAAGAGTACTGCTTGTCTGACGATTGTATTATTTGATCATAATATTTATTACCATTCATAGTAGATCAAGTATGTAATTTGATTGTTAAGCCAAGTTGTTTCTTCACCAAGCTACTTTTCTATAACAAACATTCAGTCCCTTCTCATATGCTTCTCAGAAGAATAATTTCGAATTTCTAACTCATTATTGACGCTTCGTTTTATCATAGTCTCAATTAATTTACATCACCAAAGTTCATACCTTGAGATTGAAATCATGCAACTGAACGAAAGCTAGTTTCTGCGTGCTTCACCTTGGATACATTATTGAATTCTAAATATTAATAAACTTAAAATCGTCGATCAAAAATGGATAGGTTAAGTAATACGTTGCCCCAAAATCGAACAAGGACATTTCTGACGCAAGTGGTTGCAAACAAATAGAACATTTATACAGTCACTTACACTCAGCTGCTGACTACTTTCAATGGTCTGAAATTAATTTTGTTGCAGTGTTCATAGCAACTTCACCTTTTTTGTGCTAAATGAAAAGAAACATGAAAACTATCCCAATGCATTTGTCAGCCAACTCATTTTTGTCGACTAAATAATGGCGCTATTAGATTACGATATTGTATGTTGAACTAAGTTTCACTTACATACTTGTTTCATTTGAGTATTGTATGATATACCTGTCTATCGTACCTCAACTTTTGTTCACATGGAGCATATTTACCTTTTTGTGGGCTTATTTTGTTTATTTTTTAGCCATGCGATATTGAAGTTAAAATCGCAGATTTGGGGAATGCATGTTGGACTTACCGCCATTTTACTGAGGATATTCAGACCAGACAATATCGCGCCTTGGAAGTTCTTATCGGTTCTGGATATGGACCGCCTGCGGACATTTGGAGCACAGCGTGCATGGTATGACTGTTTTTGTCTTCAGTGCTAACGCATACCCATTATATCCCAAAGAGTAAACTTTAACTGCATACAACATACTTTGTATAAAGTAGGTGCTTATGAACACAAATTAACGATGGGAAAACACTAAACAATGACCATAGGTTACTGTAAGAAAATAATGAATCAGCAAAGGCAAAGCAAAAACAAACGGATATTATTGAAGTTAAGAAAAAGCGTATTGGTTTTCCATTTTCGGGGCACAGAAGTATAACTTTAGGCCTCACTATGAATAAATAGATCGACATCCGTGGCCTAAGACGTATTATCTCCCTGGTGGTTCAAGTTACTGAATAACAATGAAAGATAAATATTCAGTCTTTCATTATCGCAAGCTATAAAAGACTAGTATCTGTAATATCACAATTTAGATGAAGATAAAACATGATTATATTTTCGACACCATGACAGATCTCAAAATACCCCACCTGGCGTTTCTTACGACCAGGCTTTTGATTTATGATATATAACTGTGTACCTAGGACTCGTGTAGAATTCATGGATTACTGTCACTCTTATACCTCAACCTTGTCTTATCCCAACAAGTTGACTTCAGTTAGACAGTGTTCTCACTAGTGTAACACGTGATCCAGCTACCTTAGTTGATGGCCATTCCATTTCTAAGGAATTAGCATCTGATCTTCACATTGCTCATATGGTAGTGCTACCATACGTGGAACGAACATGTGAAAAAAATCAAAATGAAACCTGAAATTACTGCGTAACAATCCAAGTTGCTACATGTCATATCAGCACATCAAGTGGAAACAAACTAAGATATCAGATAGAGGAATAAGAAAGAAGTCGATCAAAATTAGTAGGAAGTCGTAGAAAGAGAGCAAGGTGAAATGAAACGATACTGAAATTCAGTAGGACGATTAAGATGAAAATAATTCGTGGATAGATCTGCACCACTGAGATCGATTACCAGTCATATCACCTGGAGTCTTCAACCACCAGTTTCTGTTGTCACACAGACCCCTACCGGGAAGTTTATATTTCCCTACTCATCTCACACCAACGGTCATCGACTTCATGCACTGATACCACGTTTCAGTCTGGCTACCCCTAACCTTTTCCCATCCTGAGCCTACATTGTGCGATGAAACAGACAGTGAATAGGTGTGCGTAACACATGTGCCAGCCTTCTTAGTCAATGAAGGCTGACAACCTCATCCACTGACTTACCTATTCTTCCTAAAATCTATCCTGAGGTCTTGGTTACGTGGTGACGTGATGACATCACAACGCAGTGGACGCTACGAACGTAGCGGTGGTCAACTATCTAAGGCCTCCACATATCATCTACCTTTAGTCGCAATGGTTCACAACCATAAAGTAGAATAGAGCAAACAACAGTGCAGTATACTCGACCTTGACTAGTCAGCTGGATATCACCGCGGTGCTATGATTAGAGTGAGTTGGCGAAAGCCAATTGAACCTCTCGTATCAGTTGAGAACTTTTGTCGGTTACTGACCCAACAGGACTGAGCTGCTTTTCTGGGTGAGTGAAATGATCAACACGTTCATCCACTTCGTTTCTTGTCGTTATACAAAGCACTTTTGAAGACCAGTCTGTGGAATTACAATTCGCATCTGGTTGGCGCGAAATGAATCCCAAACATCTCAAGGTGTGTAGAAAACTGTGTCCTGCCAGGGGTCTTCATTCAAGAGGACTCTGTCATCTGCGTTCTCTAGGTTTACTGGGGATCCCCCTGTCAAATCGAATCGAAATCCACTCAGCAACATTGTGCACATTCTTGCATTAGGCGATGAGACAGACTTTTTGTGTGAGGGTTAATGATACTGCCTAGCTGTCCGAATCTCAGTAGATGGAGCTTGGTTAGGACTCTTGACCCATCGGTTGAAAATCAAGCGGCTAGAACAAGGAACCACGGATTCTTCTGTGATAAGGTTAATATCTGTAAAGTCATACGACGAAGGATAGACCTCCCTAAGTACGTCTATGATGAATTTGAAGGAGAACAGAGAGAGTGGACACCCTTGACGGACTTCAATCGAACCACGCAACTCACTGTAGCCTCCAACACGTTCACAGGTGTTCGAGTAGAAAGCCTTCAACAGAGTGATGTGGTTACTCTACACCTTTTTCAGCAAGACGCTGCCACGAGATCTCTCGATCGACGGAGTCGAATGTCGGCATCGGGTCAGAAAATAGAGCTAATGTCGAGCCTCGATAAGTGTGTCTGTGTTCCAGAGCCAAGCGGAGAGTTAATATCTGATGAATACATCCATGACCAGGTCCAACACCTGCCTAATTTTTTTGGGTTAACTGTTCCAAAGACATCTAGTGATTATTGGACCTAGAATCTTAAACACTAAGTTCGTCAAGCTGTGGTTATTACACGAGGTTTTCTCGCCCTTCTTGAAGACTGAGACAATTAATGATTGATACCAGTGAGTGGTGTTCATCTCTGACTCTCATACACTTCAGTAGATCTGACCGATAACCCCCCACCGTCGTCATGAAATATCTCCGGTACTGTTCCACCTGACTCTGTTGCCGTTACTCTTTTCAGATTTCTTACAGCTTTCCTTGACTTCTGCAAATGCTGGAGGGCCTTATCTCAATTTTTTTATTCAGGATCTGACTGGATAGCGGGCTATTATATGGAGTTTATGGTATTGATAGTCCCCTTCTACTCCTTGCGATACTTCACTGAATTTTCATAATCCTGTCGTATTTTTCCGCATGCTGAACCTGTAATCCGGTTCCAGTGTATTGCAATATTTGATTTCAATTTACTAAACTATCTTCTGTGATATTCAAACATCCTTTTTCTTTTAGGCTTTTGAATTAGCGACCGGTGATTATCTGTTCGAACCTCATTCTGGTGAAGACTATACTCGAGATGAGGACCACTTAGCACATATAATTGAACTGCTGGGACCTATACCTAGAAATATTGCTCTTTCAGGAAAGTATTCCCGTGAATATTTTGATAAACGAGGTAAGATTAGTATCTTTTTCAAAATAAGAATGCTTCAAGTCTGTTTAGTCAATTAATAGTTTCTTCCTCCTCAACAAAATATCGGTTTTGATTGTTTTATTAAATCATATAGCCTAGAAATAACTACGTCCGTATACGCCTTCTAGGTAAGTATCTCACTTTCAGGCTCCTGAAAAAAATGCTTGGTCGTCGATAGCAACATTAGAATAAAAAGTCTCCAAATTCTCAGTGGTCCGAATTCACTTTTGCAGTAGGTTGTTGAGAATTCTAATAGACTTAAGATGGTATGATAGCCAGACCGACAAATCAACGTGGAGCCTTGCACGGGAGTAAATCGGTCCACTTTGCCACAACATCAGCATGGAAAAAACAAGTAAATAGTAATCTCAAACTTTACTTTTGGTTGAAATCTAATTCACCGTTGTTTGCAAAGGTAATACTGACAAGACGTGATTATATTCGCTGTTCAGTAGATATCGTTCTATTTTTTCCTTCCAGCTTGTTTACGCCATATACGTCGCTTGAAGCCGTGGAGTTTATTCAATGTACTAACTGAGAAATATGACTGGCCACCAAGTGAAGCAGCTCTTTTCACTAGTTTTCTGGAGCCTATGCTTGCATATGATCCTAACAAAAGGGCTACCGCATGGGACTGTCTACAACATGTCTGGATAACTGGTCAACCGTATTCTCCATCTGCCGAAGAAGACCTCCCAAATCATATTCCATTTGGAGTCAGTTTACCAGATCCTTTAATAGGTGACGTGCTATCTAATCCTAGTACATACTACCACCCTCATGTAAATCAACAAGGTATCTTGGATGCTACAAACGCCACTGCTTTGTGTTACAACCAACATCCACACTTAGATCAACAGTTTCCACCTGTTCATTGTATTGCACCACAATCGCGAAATAGCCGCTCTGTTAACTATATGCCACCTGAATTATCATTCAGTAGAAATGTAAACCCATCTGAGTATCATCTGCCCTACGGTCCTGAAATAGTTGAAGGTAGTGGCTTGTCTAATCGTAGTATGTGTGTACCTAATTCTCACTACCAGCCTTGGTCGTCTAAAATGGTGAGCTCAAAACGACCTGATGTTGGTGATGTGGACAGTACAATAGATTTAGAAAATGTAAGTTAACTTGTTACTTGATAGTTTAATGTCTGTGTGTCCAACTTTTTTCAAACTCCCAGCCAGCGCCAGGAAGCAAATTGTTATATTGTAGAATTAGATTACCGAAATTCTCATAAGCTGTTAATCCCCAAAGCCTGTTACAACCAATCTTTTTCACCGAAGTCTCGAGAGAAAGCTTGTGAATCGATGTGCAAATACAAGATTTGCTGAAGAGACTAAAGATCAATAGGATTCGAATCTAGAAATGCCTGGAAGTAGCCAAGACTATTGTCAATATATAATGCATATGTGTGTATATATTTTGGACATTGCAATACACATGTTATCTGATCGACAATCAAGGGTGGAATCCGAAAGTTGTCCAAGCGTCCTCATATATACATAAGGCTATATCAAATCACTAAAAGAATATAACAAGTGGTGGCAGGGTTATAAAACAGATCAATCAAATGGGAGTGACTTTCAAAGTATTCTGAATTTCCATGCTACTTGAGCATCTGTATTAAAGCGTTTTCACACTGTGTGAATAAGCGGTCAGGGAACAGAAAAGCTCATAAATTTGTATAGAACGTATAGCAAACCCTTTTTTGTGAAAAACTTGCAAAGGAGCACTTTCATCCACAAACTACATGTCATATTAGGTCTTCTGCGTTCTCTCTTGGTATCGGGTTGATTTATTCACCAATGAACTTATATTCTGTCTATATCAAAAGTTGATTCATATTGCATAATTCATAGTTGTTACATGTGTTTACCAAGAAATACGTACTGTTACGAGTTCACACCACAAAGAAAAGTTTAACATATGCTTCTTAAACAGTATTTGACTTCTTCAATGATACTAATTCATATCTATTGTCTACAATTTCTGCACAAGCACAGACAAATAGATCAACTTGAAGCCGGGTACAACAAAACACCAATTGAAGTTATCACGCTTCGCAGTAGCATGAGGATGGGAAATTGATCGAAGAATGACATTAAGGTGGACGAAGGTGAATGAGTAGACACATAATAAATAGATGAAGGTTGAGGGAAATGTCTGAATTTTTGAAAATAATAAAGACCGAATGCATTTGTGCCATCATGATCGATTTAGACATTTTAACAACATGTTGGCTATGTTTAATGTTTGATTTGTCTCCCGCTCTCACAAAGCATAGTACGACTTGGTAACCATTTTTGTGGAGGTTCATGCGCAAGACTGTAAGTAGCATGCAATATATCTTCCGGTTTTAAAAATTGAGAGATGTGCTGAATGCACATTTCACTTTCATTTCTGTGATAAGTTTTCCCAAATGATAGAGATCGATTCAAGAAAGCGTAGCTTGCAAGTAATGGTGGTATGGCGGTAATTACTACTCTATTACTTGTTAGTATATCTAAAGGATTTCGTGTTAGTTTCGTTTGACCCTGTTCTCATGGATTAACATTGACACTTGAACTCTGCCTATTGAATTTAGTTTTTGCATAAGCCTAAAGTATAATTATCTGAATAAATGATTAACTAGTCTAGTCATCCAGACTCCTGTTAATCAGAATATTAGTTGTCTTTTCCAGGTTATCTACTCAGTCCATTTACATGTACTTACTTTCAGTTGAGATTAATCATTTATTCTCATTTGTAATTCGTATTGTCGCCACTAAATACATTTTATACTTTATTTACTAGCCTATCCATGTTGGAAATTTCATCCACAGTCTCCCAGACCTCAGTCCTGCTCCTAGTGATGATGACTATGACGAAGATGATGATGAGGATGACGACGATGAGACGAAGGGTGATGATGAAGATGAAGATGAAAGCGATGAAGAAGATCCTAGAATGCATTCGCTACATCATCATGCCCACTATTATGGACATCCATCTAATGCACCATCTGCTTATCAGTTTTTAGATCCACCCCAAATTCCATTAGAATCTCCACCTCATCCTCATTATAATGATCCTCTAGCCATGGCAGTAGCTGCTGGGCTACCGCCTAATAAGGCTGCTATTCTGGCATACGCTGCTCAGGCTCTTGGGCCAGATACTGTTTGGGCTGGTTTAGCTGCAGCAAAGAAACGCCAGGAACAACAGATGCGGACAGCAGAAAGAAAAAATTCAGACTCTCTTCCAAACGATGATGGTCTGTTATCATCTACCTCAACTATGGCAACCGCTCAAAGCAACACTAACTCGCCGCATCCTTGTGAACCAGAAGCTGATGGTGAATCACGTCACGGTCGTGGTTTGGAAGACTTAACAGCCTGTCATTCTGCTTCAGGTTCTGCATCTGAAGATAAATGTCATGCCCCAGACCATGTAGATGCATCAGATACACGGAGCTTCGAGTCTGAGTTGCATACAGTGAATGAAAACACTACTCATCAGTACATTGAACCTACAGAGACATTTACAGAAGCTTAGTTTTCTTATTTCACTTTTCTGACCTCTATCTCCTGTGAACCTATAGGCTTTCATTTTATCTCTGATTTCGATGCTATGTTTATAAAAACAATAATTTGAATATTCATTGTGGAAATAAGGACTTTGGTTGAAGTTCTTTCGTTTTATGCATGTTATTATTACAATTACTCCAGTTCACGGGATCGATAAGCATGTTCTGTGCACCAATCTATCGCATCCGTCAGTTTGTGTTACATCATTTCAACCCATTCATTATCTCGTAGACATATTTATATGCAGTTGGTTTTATATCACTGGACTGCTTAACATTCTTCACTGTGATATATATATATATATATATATATATATATATATATATATATATATATATATATATATATATATATATATATATATATATATATATATATATATAGTAGTTAACCGAGTTTTGAAGAAAAAAAACATGTGAATCATGAGGACTTGTCAAGAAGGAAGAATATTCCACAAGTGCCTGTAAAATATTTCATCCATAAAACGATGAAGGCGAACAACCTAATCAAGAAGTGGATATCAGAATATGGGTAGTTCTAGTGAAGTTATACTGTTACAAATTTACAGGACAGTAAAATTCTATCGAATGAAATAAGCAGTTGTACAATACAGATGGATGACACAAGTGGGGAATTTACTGACAGGAATATAAAGGCTTCCCAAATCGACACATTTTCATCCTTATTTCGTCGGTAATGATTCTGATGTTCATTCAGAAAACAATTTCAGACAGGAACTATAAGGGAAGTATTGACTTTATCCAATATATCTACCCTCATAGTTCCTGTCTGAAATTGTTTTCTGAATGAACATCAGAATCATTACCGACGAAATAAGGATGAAAATGTGTCGATTTGGGAAGCCCTTATATTCCTGTCAGTAAATTCCCCACTTGTGTCATCCATCTGTATTGTACAACTGCTTATTTCATTCGATAGAATTTTACTGTCCTGTAAATTTGTAACAGTATAACTTCACTAGAACTACCCATATTCTGATATCCACTTCTTGATTAGGTTGTTCGCCTTCATCGTTTTATGGATGAAATATTTTACAGGCACTTGTGGAATATTCTTCCTTCTTGACAAGTCCTCATGATTCACATGTTTTTTTTCTTCAAAACTCGGTTTACTACTTTCAAAAGACCGTGTACACACTTAACATTAGTTTTTTCTCTTATCTCACTCTGTGCTTCCACTTTCCCATTTGTGTGTATATACATATATACTAGTTATCTGTTTATGAATTGATGCACTGGTTTTTGTTTATTGCGCATAATGCTTTCCTTTTTGCTTTTAAGAAATGGGTCAGCTTTGTTTTATAAGCTCCTATGCATGGAGAAGATTGTCATGATTACTATTCTCACTGTTCCTACTATTTAAACAACAGCTGACACCAAAAATCCTTTCGCTTTTCAATAACTCCACGTCTCTCAAGAAACCCATTTATGTGTATGCACTGCTCTCTAAATTATAGAAGACGTCATTGGTCACATTTATGCATTTTAAATTATTCTCTTGGTTTGTTGAACATAGTCTGGAACTGAACTTTTAACATGTTGTATTACCGATCTATGCGCCCCCTATCTCCATCTTTCCCAGTTACATTCATAGAAACAATGCCTTATACCTACTACTTCTCTTCTTTTTTGATGAGGAAGATGACAATAGTAATGACACTATTTTAAACAATATCACAATAACTTGTCTGTTTTTGGTTTCCATACATACATATATAGGCATGCTTTGCATCCAATATTATGTAGGCAAAATATTTTCAACTTTATACTATATGCGTGCATGTGAGAAACGTATTGCTCGTCTTTTAATTCTTCGTGTCTGTACAGTACCTATGTAATGGAATGATTCTCTTTCTAAAACAAAATCTTAAACGAATTTGGTTATGCATTTTATTTCAACTGTTTCACATTGTCGATGATGTCTGTGTTGCGTTACCATCCTATACTGTGTTTTTTTGGCGTTCGTTTTCCTCATAACTACTCAGTCACACTAGCTTCTCTCTACTCCCCTCTTTCCCGAAATCGTTTTAATTGCAAACATGACCGCCTCATTCTCAGCAAAGTGTAAGTAAAAAGTGTACGTGTTTTTATCTAGAAATCTACCTATATATTAGTTCATTTCTCAATCTAAATGTTGGAGATTTAAAAGTCCTCGATAGTACTTCACTAGCTACTAAGTTTATCTTCATTTTAATTTGTCCGTAAGTATTGTCTTGTAGCAAATTGTGACCAAGGGAGTTCATTCTAATTTCATAGAATCTTTTCAAAGCCTAGACATTTTCGAACCCTTCAACACTTGTTGCTTAACCATACTACTATTTGAAAATAACGAGTGACTTATTCACTTGAAAATATCTATAGATGTCCACTGATAATCTGTCAAAAGCATATAAATTTAGTTTACAAATTACTGTCTGAATTATATGGTTGTGGGGAAAAAGGTTTACAATATTCCATGAATCAAATCTTATGTTTGTAGCTACTTTCGGGGGTATTGAGAAGATGAGAAAACCCATCTAGTTCAATCGTAACTTATTTTGAAAATTTTATCTGCAGTTTGCAGTGATTCATTTCAGCCGAGGTCTTAGAAACTATGGTAATTAATGAGTATTAATCAAGAAATAGCGGATCTGAACGTGAATGCTGAGTATTTTTATACTTCATGGTTAACATATGAGTTGATTCAACTGGTCTTCACTTTCATTAACCGACATTTTTGATGATTTCAATTTACAATACTGAATTTACTTTAAGTTTTTGTGAATAGTAGTAGATTGTTTCTAGAAATCAAAAACAACACCAGAATTTTTTAAAGGACTACGTCTTATGAGACATTTTTCAGAACTGGTTTGCGTTTCGTAAATGATACTGAATGCTCTTTGTGAATTTATTTTCCTCCAAGAATAAAATTTCTCCATCGAATGCTTCCACTTATAACACCAGAGGTATTCTCCTTCTTTTATTTGAATAAAGCTGCGGTTGACATGTTGATTTGCAATAAATTAACCTCTGAAGAGACCATAAAAATCCAGATTCTGTTTGAATTTTGAGCTAGAAACTCGAAACATGGATGGGTCTTTATTAGTTTTCTCTCGAGTTTTATATACTGTGACAGTTGTATCATAGTTTATTGAACTTCGAGAAGGCCGCGAAGACGTAATTGAAAGGGAATGTATTTTCAATCAATCTTTTTACTAAAATCACCTTTGACCATAAGGACATTGACGAAACATGAATCACTTGAGTATTTGCAGAAAACAAGTGTTATGAATCAGGAGTGCTGTTAAATTACCTTATACAAGGAGTCTTCATAAGTTATCAGAGAGGTGATGATTGGTTCTACTGGTGAAATTGGCAATCACTAAATAACAACTTATGATGAAATGTTGGCCGATTGTAAATCTGCCAATCCAAATCAACATAGGATCAGGCATTACTGCGTAACGGTCTGAGTTGCCACACCTCACGTCAGTTCATCAAGTAGAAAGGTAGTGAGGTGAAGGATGAAGATGAGTGAATGCAGTCAAAAGAAATATAAAGTACGAGAAGAAAGGAAAGAGGAGTGACAAAGTGGTGAGATTCGGTATAGCGTTGTTAAGATGAGGATACTGTGTGTATACATCTGCACCACTGACTTCGGTCCTGAGCCATATCACCTAGGGTCTCCAACCACTGGTTCCTCTTGTCCCGCCAACCCCAACCGGCTAGTCTGCATCGTCGTACATGGCTTAAACCAACAATCAGAGACTTCATACATTGATGCCATGTTTTATTTTGGCCACCTCGAACCTTTTTCCAGCTTAAACCTACTTCGGCCAAGATTGTGTGACGAGGCAGACGGCGACTAGACATACATAACACGTGTCCGAACCATCTTAATCGATGAAGGTTCACAACCTCTTCTCCCTAGAATTGTACACCTGACTTGTGTGTTACTCATGTGATGACACCGTGGAATACTGCCTATACTACGAAGGCAAAGATGGTCAAACACCTGAAGGTTTCTCATATCTTCCACCTTCAATGCCCATGTTTGACAGGCATACAGTAGGACAGAGTGGACTGGTGTGCAGTACACGTGACCCTTAATAGACAATCGGATATTGGGGCGGCGCCATAGGTGGCGCAAATTGGCAAAAGCCAGCTGAGCCTTTTGTATCCGTGCAGAGATCTCATCTGCCACTGAGCCACCAGGGTTGATCCTACTTCCCAGGTAAGTGAAGTGGTCAACACACTCAACCACTACACTCTCAACTGTTCGCCGTGGTGGGGCATCGCTGAAAGCCAATCCTGGAGCAATCATAAAAGTGGATGGGGATCGGGGACTATATCTATTTATTATTCCTTTAACAACGTGATGAAAAGCTGTGCTCCATCTAAGTATAGTGCATTCCAATCATATGGTCTAATTACTAGTGCTAACTGAATTCTATCGTTTACCTTTTTAAATTGTGCTTATCAAGGTGAAGTGATCTGATAAATTTCACCGGGTTTTTTGTATTTGTTATCACTGAATTGAAAAGTAAATAAGCACCTCTGGTATCTGGCGTTTCCATATAAGTTCAATATAGCACTCTAGATAAATTAAAAATATAGTAAATGAAGAGATTCATTAATATGATGCTCAAAATTACTTATTTCACAAAGTTTCAAAGAAATAATGTCAGTCAGACACGCTACATAAAGCTGACATGGTAAAATTTAAAATACTGGCAGTTCAAATAAGAAAAACTTAAAGTGTAAGAAAACGACAAAGGATGAAACGCAGAAGAACGTTCGTTATCACACTGTGCATTGCTAATGAAATATTGTAACCTTTCCATTGAAATATTCACTTGCAGAATGTATTTCATTTCCTCTTCCACTTCTATCTCGACTTGCTCTTAATATGCCCACATCGTGTCTTGCGTTCCTCTGGGCAGAATATTTTTACCCATTGCTGGTAATTGCCTATGACTTCCGACTTCTCAACATATACTACTTATATGTGTTCCTATAAGTAGTAACCATCACAATAGTACTTGTGAAATTTGAGCTTAGATAACTAAGCATCTCAGACAAAAAGGTAATCACTTAATCATTCA